CCTTCATTACTTAACATTTCTCTTAGAAGGGTCTACCGACTACTGTGAGGGTCTTAGCTATATTTTAAGTGATGCCCAAGGATTCCTTTAAAAGGAATTTTAGGTGATTCCTAGTATATACAGGCAAAAAATGAAAATTGAGATGTGAAAGCTACAAATTTTAAAAGTAGATATTGAAATTAAAAGAATTATCAGTAGAGACAATTTAGTTTACAAATTAAAAGTTCCTTTGGCAATACATGTTATAGAGGAATGGTATGATTGGAACCAATACACTATGTACGTATCAGGATCTCTATCCCTGAGTAAATTGTGACTAGTTTCCATGTACACTGCCCAGAGTATGAAGTCAATTACCTTTCAACCAAGGGTATTTAATTTTCTCTACTTAGTTTGCATTGCCCTTTTGTTTTAGATTTTTTAATATCTAAAGCATCATATTTATTTTTAAAAATTAAAGGTTTAGTCGAAGCACTGCATTCTGTGTTAAAAAAAAACTTATTGGCATAGCTCATTTCATCCTAATGATGAAAATAGGCTTATTACTCATGAATTTTAAGTTTTATATGTGACTGAGACAACTAGAAGAGACCCAGGAAAAGAATATCAGCTAAATGTCAAAAACCAAAGATTTGAAAACAGTCTAGAAGGATCAAATGTTTAGATAAAGCAAGATGTATTATTTAATAAATCACAGACCATTTACCCTCCCCCCAAAAAAACACACTTTGCATATCAAGAAATTTAAAATAAGCAAGTATCCAAAGCAGGGGACACATGGGTCATAAACTGAGTTGATGCCAGGCTGCAGCGTGACATTGAGAGCTTGTCTAACAGCTGGCCTGCGAAGCCAAGGGCCCAGCCTGGAAACCAGGGACGAAATGTAGATGGCGTGTGTGCCACTTGGAGTGCAGCGTGGTGACTCCGTCCCTGCCAAATGTACAGCAGGAACAGTCACAGCAGCTTAGCTGTGTTTTAGGACCTAATCGAGGCATAAACCACAACTGCTGTTGTTGGCGGAGACAGTGGAAACCAAACGGTATTTCTAATTGGAAAAGAGTAACTGGGGACAAAGAGAAACAACCAACTAAATGTCTCATCTGGAGAAATAAAGTGTGACCAGGTTCTGCCAAGTTAAGCAAGGTGCACGTGTCAGCAGCTCTTGAAGGAAGCCATCCGAATGCCTGAGACACACTAGAAAATGTCAGCCAATATGTTCTTACAGCGAGGACACTCTGTGTCTTGTCCCCCTGTCTGAAGATAGATAAGAGGCCACTGTGTTACACACAGGCTGTCCTGGCTCAAACACCTATTTGTGAGCGTGACATGAGTTTCTGGCTTTGTCTGTTCATCTTCTTTCTATAGAGCAGATGCTCCACAGTGGCATGAGACAGTGCCTTGTAAAGGATTTTAAATTGTGTCTGATGGCTTTCCCTTTCAAAGATCACTTTTATAGGTCTTTTTTTCTAATTATGAAAAAAAATTCATCACGAAAATTAGTAGAAAATTTAGGAAAGCACAAGGACAATAAGAAAAATTTCCTGTACTCCTACATTAAAGGAAAATATAACTATTATGACAATTTTATGTATATCTTTGTAATTTTTGACTTCACTTTACAATCTACTTTGGGCCAGACATTTTTGCACGAGCTCATATGGAATTACTGGGAACTCCGGTTTTAGAATGGGCACAAAGTGAGATATTAATGTGTACCCATTTCTTGCCTATTTAATGGAACTCAGTGCTCCCTATTGCCTACATCATTTATGTTCCAGCCATACTAAGCTCTTTTCTGTTCTCCAAAATACCATGACAGTTCATCCTGTTTGGAGGGCACTTTCTTCAGGTGCCCGATTGCCTTCAACTACCTTTTTTTGTCCTTTACTGCTCTTTATCCTGAATACTTGTCTTAATTACCTTTTCCTTTGGGAGATTTTCAATGGCTCCTGCAAACGGGTTAAGACTATCTTTGTTCAAGCTACCACCATACCAACCAGAACATAGCTCTATTACTCCACTATTTTACTGTATTGTTATTTATGTTCTCACCTGTCATCTTCTTTACTAGACTACAAGGGAACAGAGACTGTTTCAGCCTGCTTTCACTTGTACCTAAGAAATGGGCCTACTTCATAAAAGATGGTCAACAGAAAAGTGGTGAATACATAAATGAATGATTGAATGAATGAAGGTCTCTCATCTCACAGAGCCCCAGTATTTTCATCTATAAAGTGAGAATACCAACTATGTATATAGAGTGTACCACAAAAATGTATACACACACTTTAAATAATTATAAAGGCAGTGTTTATTAAACTACATTTTATTTTCAAAATTGAGCTATCAGCTGTTAAAGTGTGTATACATTTTGGGGGGAACACCCTGTATTTGTTCTTTTCTTAATTCTCTTCGACTAATCTACGAAAAATGTGAGTGTTAGGAGTCAAATAATTTCCCTGAACAGGTAATAATAATATGGTGACATTTTTGCAATACTAATTTATCCAAGCTTTGTGACTGTTAAAAGCCCACAGAACACCCTATAGATAAGCTAAAAGGAACAAAGGGTAATAGGAGAGATAGCATTGCAGTAGTTTCATTTTAGTGTCATTAAAGCCTATACAGAACCAGGTAATGTTGGAGAGTTTATGTTAATCAAATAATAATAAAATATGAAAAAGCGCTTGACTTTCAGGTTTCCTGGTCAAGAACAATCTACTTCCAAAGGGGGGGGGGAGATTGTTTAATGCTTTACATGAAATTACATTTCCTACTACATAATTATTCAAAGTAGCTCCTGCATTATGAATAAGAATAAATAATAAGATGGCAATTAAATAACTATCATTAATGACTTGTTCATTAATATATTAGTTGGCTGTTTTATCATAAAGAGAAATTAGAGTAAGATAGTAGGAAAATTCAGTAAATAATAAAACAGAAAGCTTTGTATTGTGTCGTGTTTAATTACAAATATACCTGATTCTCAGGGAACTCTAAAAAAGAAATTTGCATACTGAGTACAGAAGTAGTTCAAAGCTAATAGGTGCTTTGTTACACACAAAACTCTCTCATGTCTCTTTGAGTTTAAGTTTGTTTACTCTTAGAAAAACTTGATTTCCTGTGTCTGAGGGAAATAAGCTTATAAAAAAGATGAAAAGGCTGCTATATAGCACTCCAGTAAAGGGATGCTAACAAATTAAGTGTTAATGAATCAAAAACATATGGATTACACTTCACTTCAAATAGAAATAATTTTAGAATCAAGGGGGAAAGTACTTAACAAAATGTAAATGTCTTTGTCAATGTTAAAAGGCAAACATCTGAGGCATCTTCAGAAAGCCCCTAGTTACTCCTCTCTTTAGCCATGATCTATCCTTTCATTCTATAGACAAGATCAAGGTCTCCATGGCCAAATGACCTTTGGAAATGTTAAGGATACATTGGGTAAGTTGTAAACAAACATCCCAGAAGCTCAGAGATAAAAAAGAAAGGAAAAAAAAGATCAAGGGAGAAATGTGTATCAATTAACCAATCCACCAAACCAACCCCGAGCAGGACCCTCTGCTCCTTGCTTGTCATAATTCAGAGCAACAAGTAAAAGAGAAATGTCAGTTGTCACAGACCTTTTCTAAGTCACCCTCATAATCAATAGCTAAGATTTATACTATCAAATTATTTGGGTTAATATTAATCTTAATTGTCTAAGAATTGGAATTGATATATTAATAGTTCTAAATACAGTCCGTAATTATATAAAAAGCTTTAAAAGATACCTGTCTTCATGCTTCTGTAGAATTGGGAGTTTGTTCAATGCAGGAAGAAAATAACACTAGATACGGAGTTCAGATTATATATTTGGTTACTGAGCAGAAGTCTGTTTATTTAGGATAATTTAGGCATACTTTTTGGCTGTATCCGCCTGGGTCCCTAAAATACGTTGTTTACTGAAAAAAATTAAGGTTCTTCAATGCAACAGAGTTATGTTTTTAGCATCTAGAGTACTGCCTTCCCATAAAAACAGTTCATTTACCTCCTACATTGCTGCTTGTGTCTCTTTCACTCAAAATTCAGTTCTGGAGCTCAAGGTGTTCATTCCTTACCGGTGGATACTTAATTCAGTGCCCGGCATTTAGTGTAAAAAGCCTTTCAGTGATTTGGAAATGGGAGCCTCCACAAGTGAAGCCTGGAAATCTGAAAGTCCACTGGAACTGCAGTCAGGGGACCAGGAGCAGTACATGTAGACGGTTTGAGTGATCACCTTTTGTTCTCCTGCTGTAAGGAATTAGGATGCTCCTTGGCTCTAACTGAGTTATGCCTGTTTATGCTTTGAACCAAGATTCAAGCGCTCTTTGCCCTGCAGTCACCACTCTTGTCATCTACCATTTTGGAGTCAATTTGATTCCTGGTTTTTATTTCCACTTCTCCCACACTCCATTCCGAATTTCAAATTTGACTAGGTCCAATTTAGGTTTGCTGTTTACCTTCACCCCCATCAAGCTTACAAAATGCTCAACACCCTGGGCCTGTCCTGTTGCTGCAAATCTGGTTCATGATGACATATCAGACACCATCTATGCATGACTGTAGGATTGAATTGAATGGGGTAGTTAGAAAATGCCCCAGATAACTTAGAACTTCCATGAATAAACAAGTCTCAATGATGGAAAATTGAACTATGTATTAGATGGAGTGCATTAAGCTATTTATTTCCCAAGAGGTGGAAGTATTAATTAGAGCTTTAAAATAAGCAATTTATAGAGTTCAATTCAAAGGCAACCCAAATTCTTAACTAAATGAGTTACTTCTTTTCATTAAAATTTCAGTGGCTTCCCATTTCCTATGATAAATATAGAGTCCCCACTAATTGTGCACATGGCCGCTTGCCGGTCTACCTCCACAGGCTGCTCTCTCCCCTCCTTCCACCTTCTGGCCTTTGTTCTGGCCAAAGCCTATCAAGTGTCCCCATCCCAAATCCTCATCAACATGCTTCCGTTTTATCTGTTTTCTCCCACTTTGCCGTTCGTGCCCCCCACCAAAGCTTTTCCTCCTCCCTGCCGACCTTCCCCAAGTAGAACCGAGGGATATTCCCAGGAAACACTGAAGCCACACATGCCACAGTGTCCACGGTTTGTCGTGTCAATAACAAGGCTGAGTTCTACCCCTCTATCTAATCCAGTACTAAATGGAGGTGCGGCTTCTTGAATTATCTCCTTTTATTAAAAATTATAAATTGTTTATAACCAGAACTGAATTTCATGAAGAATGAACTAAAAAAGTCAAATAATTGTGATCACCCTTCAAGTGCACAAAAGTAGTAGGTAAAGAGCATCTCTTATGCAAGCGGAGGGAACAGGACATGTTTCTGTGCATATGTGTGTCTCTGTGCACATTCATGATAAGAGGTGGGCAGCTCCTTCTCAGAGCACCTTACATGTTTCCAGTGTGCAGGCATCTATTAATAAAAGCTATTCTAAAATACGACAACAAAAGGAATCATTAATTGCACATGGCAGTTCTCAGATAATATAGATGCTGGAGAAGTAGACATCTTAGTGTTTATGTTTGCCATTTACAGTGCTTGAACGGATCTCTACATTTATACGCCAATGTTCCATGAAACACAACTTTCTGTAAACCTCCATCTCTGCCTAACATCTTGCTATTTTTATGAGCTCCAATAGCCCATTTTAAAGTGGTAGTTTCTTTAAGAAAATAATTATAATGGAAATTAGTCTTCAACAAATAGTAAGGCACATTTTGGAATTAAATTTCCAAGTACTGAAGCTCTGCTTCCTGATATGTTGAAAACTGTTATATAAGTTTAACCATACCCATTCAATCTATGTACCTAGAATATCATTTCTTCTGTTGCTAATGAAGGTCCTACGGCACAAATTTATTAAAAGTATACATTTGCATGGGATAATAATTGGGTCGATAATATTAAATTCATAGGCTCATTATTTAATTGCAAGGGCAGATTATGAATACAGCTTCTAAAATGTATTTTAATGAAAAACACTACATCCTGACCTAATCATATCAACCTTATGCTATCTAATTAAACATGCAGAAAATCATTAGAGTTGCAAAATATTAGTTCCAGCTCCATCAGACTGTGAGCTGCCCCTTCATGAATATATATATTTTTTACTCCATGATAAATAGTTAATGAGGTAAAAATGACAAAATTTGCATGTAGGCAAATTAGTTTAATAGAATGGTGCCTTTTCTGAATGCTGAAAGTGACCTTTTCCTTCTCAAAAAAAAACGGCTAAAATACTTTGAAATTATCATCTGGCTGTCTTTGCACAAATGACAAATTATATGTATGAACAATATAAAATTTACAAAATGCAATAATCCTAAATTCTCATCACACTGTAAATGTGTTCTGTGGTTTTGCATTTATCAATTTAATAAAAGGAAATTAAGCATATTATAAAGTGTCCATTTATGTGGCAAATTTTTAATCCAATGCATAAAAATGAGAAGCACATGCTTAATAGTTAGCACTGTGGCAGGGATCTAGATCAAAATTTTAAAGTGAGAGAATTCTAGACGACTTATTTGAAATACTTGTATATTAAAATGGCTATTCCACTCTCAATTTAGCATTTTAGATCACAGATAATTGTTCTCAATTAAACTGGCATTATATCTTGAAATTAGTACATCAATTATTCAACAGAGCTACCTTGCTTCCCTACTGAAATAAACTAAACAAGCAAAATCTATGTACATCTGAAACTGATATAATACTGTACATCAACCATAATTTAAAATAAATTTTAAAAATATTTCATCTGGCTGTTCCTGAGTTATAGCAAATTGATTATTAATCGTTGAATTGATATCTAAAAAAAACAAGCAAACGTAAAACATTTTAAGAGGAATAACATACAAAAATTAATCATAAATAAGAGGACGTGTTCATGGCATAAATGCCAGGTCACGAAGAGACATGACACAGGAGTAAGACGCGCACGTCTGTCGGGTTGAGCCTGAGTGTTTCTGTGCGCTTCCTAAGTCACCCAGCAGCCAGAAATCTCGGGCCCTGGAGATTGCCGGTCATTCGCATGAGCATCTCTAAAGTCTTGTCCCTGCCTGACGCTGAGTCTCTACATGCTGGCGACAGCAGCAATTTCTCTAGATATATTAATGTACCTAGATGTACTAATTCCTGTTAATGGCCCCACAGAATCTAAGCCAATATATTTCACTTAAGCCACAAATACCTTTGCATGAACTGTTTACTTTAATTACATTTAATCAAATTGTCTTTTCTTTGACCCATCTGATGTGTACACATAGTCAGAATTATGAACATTTAAGGTCTGAGGTCGCTTCTTAAGTTCTATTCATGTCCTTCACTGGTCAGCTAAGCTGTTTTACAAAAGAGGGAATAAATATTAATTTTAAACAATTAAAAAATTTTACAGTCTCTTTTACTTTTTCTCCTAGTACCTAAACATTGTTTGTTCTTCTGTTCTTCCTGGCCCCTTTTCTTCCCCCTTTCCCCTCCCCCCCAGCCTCCTCCTCTAGCTAAAATAATAAACACTAAAATAATTTTCTATTTTCCTCTGCATTCTCGTTAGGTACTGATGCTCAACTCAAATTATTTTGGTACTCAATTTTGGATTGCTTCCAAATTGCTAAACTTCCATGTTGTGAAACTTAATAATAAAATAAAATGTACTCTACCTACCCCAGGCACTTTGTAATTATCCTAGAGATAATTATCTTAACTTTTAAGATACTTTTGACAATTTGGGCCTTTTAAAGATTATCCTGCTAGTCAAGAATTTTTGAAGAAGAAACAGGAATAAATATATGGTAATGTGAAATTTGTTTTACTTCAGGTCAGGGACTGTGGTCTTGCAAATGGCTGCTATGATGTTATATTAACTATTAAATGAATGGAATTCAATACATATTGAGTGTATTCATAATAAACCCTTGTGGAATTTTTAAAAAGCTACTGTTTAGGTTTCTATCAAGTAGAGAACAGGATGAGATAGATTATATGTTCATTATATGGGCAAACTATGTTCAATTATTCAACCATTTAGGCATGCACTCTTTCATGTATTGAACAAATAGTAAAAATGTGCTACACTGTGCAGACACTGTCAGAGATTAAGGACACGCAGATAGAGAGGCTGAGCATTTATTCTACAAGAAGATCTGAATGGGAAAAGGAAGAGGGGTATGCTAAGAGAATGAGCGTCTTTTGTTCAGGCAAAAAACAAATCTACTTCAAACCAACTCACCTTTCTTCTCTCGCCATTAATTCCTCTCCATTGCTCAGACTTTTTCACTATGTAACTTAGCTCCTGATTGGAAATCTCCAAATCATACGGCATGAAAAACTTGGTTTCTTCACTGTGGATGCGCTGAAATGCATCTAATATCCAAGAATCACTGTGCAATCTAAGGACAAAATATTTTGTTATCTTTTCTTCCCAAATATGGTTTACTTTTGTTTCTAAAAATGTAAATAATTTATTATTTTTTTCAGGGGGCAGGGAGAGGTGGAAGTGGGCAAAGGGGGATAAATGGGAAGGGGAAGAGACTTGACTTTGGGTGATGAGTGTGCAATGCAGTGTGCAGATGATGTTTTATTGAGTCGTATACTTGAAACCTATATGGTTTCATTAACCAATGTCACTCCAATAAATTTAATAAAAAAAGAGGTATAAACCACTCAAAATCTCATAACTTAGATATAACCATTTTTAACATTTTGTTGAACATCCTTTCAGGGATTTTTCTTTGCCTATATACAAATATAGATATAATTTCATGTCAATAGTATTTTCTCATGCTGACCCATAACCTGTTTCTTTTTCCAATAATATTTTCTGACATCTTTTCATGTCAATAAATAAAAATTGACTTGATTTTAATTGATTTTTATCAATTTCTATTTATTTAGTTCATTATATCCACGTCTTTTCCAGAAATTTTGACTGAGGTTCCTGAAATTGTTTAATAATTTCCTCCACTAAATATCATGATCCAGCCACAACAATCTGGGTTTTCACAGTTATCTCCAAAAAACCTACTATTTCTGATTTTGATGTCTAAGTAATAGAGTGTAGAAATATGAGAAATATTTATAGCCAATAATTTGTATTATGACTATCCAAATTAGTTCAAATGTGAGGTATTTGTCAAAAGAAGTTTATTCTTTCTCAACCACTTGGTGTTAGTGCCCTGTAACAGAAACCCCATTGGACCAGCTCAGTCAGCAGAGAGGTTCTGCTTAGTTGGTTGTTTTCAAACGTGAATAATAAATAGACCAAGTTGTGAAAGCACCTAACCTGATGAACTACTTATTTAATCTTTTCCCACTTTCCAAAACAACTCAAAATATTAATTTAGTAAAGTCCTGCTTTTCTTGTAATACCAGTAAAGTGACAACATAGTATCACACTAAAAAACATTACAAACACTAATTAGGCCAAAACTTATAAAAGTCTTGCAAGTGTATTTTGTTTTTAATTTGAGTAAAATTGAAACTCTTGAGAAATATTTATACTCATCCTCCTGACCTAGAGTACACCTGACTCACCATGTATACCTGGAGCTACTTGAAGAAGCACAGAATTGTGCCACTAAATAATCTGTAGGTCAGATCAAGGGCCCTGATGTATCACAGTGTCTATAAACTACCAATTTGAGAAGGAAATGTTAACAAAATTTCCAATATATAAATTGGACTATCAGGATAGTTAAACATAACATGGAAGTGCCTTTCTACACTAAGCATGAAATTGTAAGTATTTTATTTCAGTGATCAGAATATATTTTTCTTTAAATAGACTAGATAATTAAAACTAAAAAGTATTGATTTCTCATTATAATAGCAGTCAATTTCACATCCATGGCGATATCTAACCTTAATTCTCTCTTTTACATATTAATACGATAAAATCAAAAGTTAGTCTCACTGTCTATAAATTATAGGCACAGAATTTAAACTCAGAGCTAACTTCAAGCTTTGTTTCATCTATTATCTGAATTTTCAGTGAAAATAACTGATTCAACACGTCTTCTTATAAAGACCTCTATCTTGATTCTTTCCAAAATAGTAAAATAGATATTTTTATTCTAACTGCCAAATAAGATCTATGTATCTTTTCTTTTTCAACTCGTTTTCATTCATTGCAGAGTGGAAATAACAGCAAAACTGCCACTCAGCATCACTGATGGCCCAAGACAGGCCATCTGGCTCGATGTCATCTTGAAATGCAACTACTACTGTGACTGTGCTTTGAGATTCTAGATCGGCCATTTGAATGATTTGCTAGTTGCATTGTTAAACAAGAGCTAGTCTTTACCATTCTCTTAAGCTTGTTTAATGTTACATTCATCTTTTTCTTTTACTGGTGCTAAGATTTAATGTAGTTAAATTACTGTCAATTTGCTGCCATAAACATTTTCTATATGAAGATTTTAAGTGCAGGATTATCAACAATGCAATTAACTTTGAATTAATTAGGAATCAGAGTCCTGTTTCTTCTAGCTTCTGTTCCTTTTGCCCAGAAAATGTCTGTCTCCTCTTTATATCTCTTTCATTCTGTGTGAAAATATAATTATATAACATTCAAACTGGGATCCACAGGACCGTAAACAAATGGTTTAACAGAGAACAAAATGACAATTGGAATATGGAAAGCTGTACAAAGATTAATTGCATTTCAGTTTTAGTTAAAAAAATTTTTTTTTGCATTTTTAGTGGCATTTTCCAGTGAAAGCCTTCATGATGGCTTGCTAATGACTCAGCTTACCAACCTTCGTTAGTTTTTAGTGCATTTTTTTCAGCTCAAAAGAGCCAGCTTACAGACAAAGAGAAAATAGCCTATAATTGTATATGCAAAATGTTAAAAAAGAAATTAAATGTTAATAATTTTATAATTCATTTGATAATATGATAGTCAAATAATATAATATTTCTCCTAAAGTGAATTATTTTATCCTTTTGAATATTTTTGCAGCTCATGCTGATCAAAGTCTATGCATATCTATTGCACTTTCACTTTTCCGGTTCTCTTAGAAAGCTGAAGAGTTCAACTAAATTTTAGAAAAATTTATGTAAAGGTAAACTGTAAAAAAAGTTCCAATTTCATAAATAAGTGGGACATTGGCAGGCATTGATAAGAGAGAAACAGACTATTCTCTCTGTGTATACATTAGAGTAATTCAATAAATATCAAGCTTAAACTTCCTGTCATCATATTTAGTTATGAAAGTTTGTTATTCTCATATGAGTCACAAATAACACACAGAAGAGTCTTCATGCATCTTATGCCATTTGGCCGGGGTGGCATCTGTCTTTAAATATAAGGTTGAACTACATAAAATTAAAGATATTGGATCATTTTGGAATAGAGAAGAGAAAGAAAAGAAAAGAAAAAAATTAATAATTAGTGAAGCTAGGAGAAAAATTATAAGTTCATTGTACTATATTTGAAATTTTGTAGAGTTGAGGTTTTTTTTTAATATAAAGCTAAAATTTATGATGTTCTATTGAAATACATCATTATATGGTGATGGTTGCAAATTTGTATTTCTGTTAACAACATATCTATTCAATATGTCTGAAAATTTTTAAATTATTTTTTCAAAATGTAATTAAAAGAGAAACTACATTCTACCTGTCCGTAAAGCCTTTAGGCATTATTGCTTTTAGAAATAGGTCGCATATAGTGCCACAGGTTCTGATGATGGCCAATAAAACACAGTAATTTACAAAGTCCTCTGCCCTGTGTCCTACATTTGAAGCAATTCACTGCTTGGTGAGTGGCAGAAGCTATTATGTTTGGTTCACATCTAAATGTGGGTCATTTACAGAAACCCAGCATGTGACATTTCTTTTAAAGCTAAAAAGGACAAGTGTGAACATTTAGCTAATATGGTATTTTAAGGGTCATGAAAAGAATGGAAACTATAACTTTAAATTGCTTTAAGTACAAAATATATAAAAAGGAAGAAGAACCCAATATGATTGCTTGTTTGCAACTCTGAAAGTTACACATAATTTTAGTAGTGGGGTTATTGTGCTCAGTGTAAGATGGAAAATTATGGATCTACTGGTATAATTATATTAGTTTACGTTTAAACAGACAGCATATAGTCAAACTTCTCTTTAGCTTGACCAGCACATGCTTGCCAAAATTCATTCTTACTTTTTAATGTTAAAATCCACATATTCTTTAGCAGAACTGTGAACACTTTAGATGGGGTGAGTGACATTAAAGTTGACTTTCTAGAAATCCTTGAGAACTCACCATTCTATTTAATAATAATTGAAATTCAAATGGCTTTGGTTTGAAATTGTACCAAATAGAGGGAAAGGGAAATACAAAGAAGGAATAAAGAGAAGAAAGAAAGTCAGAAAAAATTGTTTAAGAAATACAGGAAATAAAAATGTGCACACAGTGGGTAGTAGTCAAATACCCCACCCCTATTTCCAGAGACAGTTTTACTGTAGGTTCCTAGTTATGAAGTATGCATCTTTTAATATATGCATTGGCTCATGCTGGTAAGGGGCAGATCCCTTGAATGAATTCCTCATTAACCTATTCATTCAGTACACGAATATTCACGTATGTCTGTGAAATGCCAGGTACTGGCTAAGTGCTTCCAGTAGAGGAGGGGACAGGTGAGGATTCCAGGAAGACAGTGGAGAGGAGCCTGCATGGGGCTTTGAGGCCAGTGGGAAGATAACAGAGAGACAAGAACACCGAGCATTAGGGGTAGTACATCTGGAGAAGGTAGGGCTCACTCAGGTCAAGAGAACTAGGAAGAATTATTCTAAGAGTACTAGGAAGCCATTAAATGGACCTAAGGCAAGAAGTGATATCATTTTTTTAAATTAAAAATCAGTCTGGTTATAGTGAGGAGAATAGATTAAAAGGGATAAGAGGAAATATAAGAGGCTAGTTGGAAGATTAATGTAACAGTTATGGAAGAGATTAAGAAATATTCAACAGGGAAAGGAGCCTGTGTATACAATGAAATAAACAAGTTTAAGAGCTAAGGAACTGCCAGAGCCTGGAGAAGGTGGACATGGAGGGTGAGCAAGGGGGCAGATTTGAGGACACCCTCCCATTTTTTCCCCTTCATCCCTCCTTTCCTCTCTCCCTTCCTCCCGCCCTTCTTTCTACCTTTCTTTTCTTTCTTCCTTCCTTCCATTTTTTTCCCCCCAGAATGAGTGATCATGGAATTTACTAAGATAGGAAACCCTAGATAAAGAGGTAATTTGGAGAAGACAATGAGTTTCTTTTCAGAACGCTGATTTTTCCAAATCGTCACCAGATGACATATTATTATTATTGATTTTAGAGAGAGGTAAAAAAATCAATCAGTTGCCTCCCATCTGTACCCCTACTGCGGGGTCTAACCTGAAACCCAGTAAGTGCCCT